CATGGAATCCTTTCCCCATTGCTTGTTTTTGTCAGGTTTATCAAAGATTGTGTAGTTGTATGTATGCTTGTGTTGCCCTCAGTGCCTCTGTTTTGTTCCATTGGTCTATATCTCTGTTTTGGTACCTGTACCATGCTGTTTTGATTACTGTAGCCTTGTAGTATAGTTTGAAGTCCGGTAGTGTGATGCCCCCCACTGTGTTCTTTTTGCTTAGAATTGACTTCGCTATGCGGGCTCTCTTTTGGTTCCATATGAAGTTCATGGTGGTTTTTTCCAGTTCTGTGAAGAAAGTCAATGGTAGCTTGATGGGGATAGCGTTGATTCTGTAAATTACTTTGGGCAGTATAGCCCTTTTCACAATATTAATTCTTCCTAACCATGAACATGGAATGTTTCTCCATCTGTTTGTGTCCTCTCTGATTTCATTCAGCAGTGGTTTGTAGTTCTCCTTGAAGAGGTCCCTTACGTTCCTTGTGAGTTGTATTCCAAGGTATTTTATTCTTTTTGTAGCAATTGAGAATGGCAGTTCATTCTTGATTTGGCTTTCTTTAAGTCTGTTATTGGTGTAGACGAATGCTTGTGATTTTTGCACATTGATTTTATATCCTGAGACTTTGCTGAAGTTGCTTATCAGTTTCAGGAGTTTTTGGGCTGAGGCAATGGGGTCTTCTAGGTATACTATCATGTCGTCTGCAAATAGAGACAATTTGGCTTCCACCTTTCCTATTTGAATACCCTTTATTTCTTTTTCTTGCCTGATTGCTCTGGCTAGAACTTCCAGTACTATATTGAATAGGAGTGGTGAGAGAGGGCATCCTTGTCTAGTGCCAGATTTCAAAGGGAATGCTTCCAGTTTTTGCCCATTCAGTATGATATTGGCTGTTGGTTTGTCATAAATAGCTTTTATTACTTTGAGATACGTTCCATCAATACCGAGTTTATTGAGGGTTTTTAGCATAAAGGGCTGTTGAATTTTGTCAAATGCCTTCTCTGCGTCAATTGAGGTAATCATGTGGTTTTTGTTTTTGGTTCTGTTTATGTGGTGAATTACGTTGATAGACTTGCGTATGTTGAGCCAGCCTTGCATCACCGGGATGAATCCTACTTGATCATGATGAATAAGTTTTTTGATTTGCTGTTGCAATCGGCTTGCCAATATGTTATTGAAGATTTTTGCATCTATGTTCATCATGGATATTGGCCTGAAGTTTTCTTTTCTCGTTGGTCTCTTGCCGGGTTTTGGTATCAGAATGATGTTGGTCTCATAAAATGATTTGGGAAGGATTCCTTCTTTTTGGATTGTTTGAAATAGTTTTAGAAGGAATGGTACCAGCTCCTCATGTGTCTGGTGGAATTCGGCTGTGAACCCGTCTGGACCTGGGCTTTTTTTGTGTGGTAGGCTATTAATTGCTGCCTCAACTTCTGACCTTGTTATTGGTCTATTCATAGTTTCAGCTTCCTCCTGGTTTAGGCTTGGGAGGACACAGGAGTCCAGGAATTTATCCATTTCTTCCAGGTTTACTAGTTTATGTGCATAGAGTTGTTTGTAATATTCTCTGATGATGGTCTGAATTTCTGTGGAATCTGTGGTGATTTCCCCTTTATCATTTTTTATTGCATCTATTTGGTTGTTCTCTCTTTTCTTTTTAATCAATCTGGCTAGTGGTCTGTCTATTTTGTTGATCTTTTCAAAAAACCAGCTCTTGGATTTATTGATTTTTTGAAGGGTTTTTCGTGTCTCAATCTCCTTCAGCTCAGCTCTGATCTTAGTTATTTCTTGTCTTCTGCTGGGTTTTGAGTTTTTTTGATCTTGCTCCTCTAGCTCTTTCAATGTTGACGATAGGGTGTCAATTTTGGATCTCTCCATTCTCCTCATATGGGCACTTATTGCTATATACTTTCCTCTAGAGACTGCTTTAAATGTGTCCCAGAGGTTCTGGCACGTTGTGTCTTCGTTCTCATTGGTTTCGAAGAACTTCTTTATTTCTGCCTTCATTTCATTGTTTACCCAGTCAACATTCAAGAGCCAGTTGTTCAGTTTCCATGAAGCTGTGTGGTTCTGGGTTGGTTTCTGAATTCTGAGTTCTACCTTGATTGCACTATGATCTGAGAGGCTGTTTTTAATGATTTCAGTTGTTTTGCATTTGTTGAGCAGTGCTTTACTTCCAATTATGTGGTCAATTTTAGAGTAGGTGTGATGTGGTGCTGAGAAGAATGTGTATTCTGTGGATTTGGGGTGGAGAGTTCTGTAAATGTCTCTCAGGTTTGCTTGCTCCAGGTCTGAGTTCAAGCCCTGGATATCCTTGTTGATTTTCTGTCTGGTTGATCTGTCTAGTATTGACAGTGGAGTGTTAAAGTCTCCCACTATTATTTTGTGGGAGTCTAAGTCCTTTTGTAAGTCATTAAGAACTTGCCTTATGTATCTGGGTGCTCCTGCATTGGGTCCATGTATGTTTAGGATCGTTAGCTCTTCTTGTTGTATCGATCCTTTTACCATTATGTAATGGCCTTCTTTGTCTCTTTTGATCTTTGTTGCTTTAAAGTCTATTTTATCAGAGATGAGATTTGCAACTCCTGCTTTTTTTTCTTTCCGTTTGCTTGGTAAATCTTCCTCCATCCCTTTATTTTGAGCCTTTGTGTATCCTTGCATGTGAGATGGGTTTCCTGTATACAGCACACTGATGGGTTTTGGATTTTTATCCAATTTGCCAGTCTGTGTCTTTTGATTGGTGCATTTAGTCCATTTACATTTAGGGTTAATATTGTTATGTGTGAATTTGATACTGCCATTTTGATGCTAAGTGGTGATTTTGCCTGTTAGTTGTTGTAGATTCTTCATTATGTCGATGCTCTTTAGCATTCAGTGTGATTTTGGAATGGCTGGTACTGGTTGATCCTTTCTATGTGTAGTGCCTCTTTTAGGAGCTCTTGTAAAGCAGGCCTGGTGGTGACAAAATCTCTGAGTACTTGCTTGTTCGCAAAGGATTTTATTTTTCCTTCACTTCTGAAGCTCAGTTTGGCTGGATATGAAATTCTGGGTTGAAAGTTCTTTTCTTTAAGAATGTTGAATATTGGCCCCCACTCTCTTCTGGCTTGTAGTGTTTCTGCCGAGAGATCTGCTGTGAGTCTGATGGGCTTCCCTTTGTGGGTGACCCGATCTTTCTCTCTGGCTGCCCTTATTATTCTCTCCTTTATTTCAACCCTGTTGAATCTGACGATTATGTGCCTTGGGGTTGCTCTTCTTGCGGAATATCTTTGTGGTCTTCTCTGTATTTCCTGCAATTGAGTGTTGGCCTGTCTTGCTAGGTGGGGGAAGTTTTCCTGGATGATGTCCTGAAGAGTATTTTCCAGCTTGGATTCATTCTCTTCGTCCCCTTCTGGTACACCTATGAAACGTAGGTTAGGTCTTTTCACATAGTCCCACATTTCTTGGAGACTTTGTTCATTCCTTTTTGCGCTTTTTTCTCTAATCTTGGTTTCTCATTTTATTTCATTGAGTTGGTCTTCGACTTCAGATATTCTTTCTTCTGCTTGGTCGATTCGGCTATTGAAACTTGTGCATGCTTCGCGAAGTTCTCGTATTGTGTTTTTCAGCTCCTTTAATTCATTCATATTCCTCTCTAAGTTATCCATTCTTGTTATCATTTCCTCGAATCTTTTTTCAAATCTTTTTTCAAGGTTCTTAGTTTCTTTGCATTGATTTAATACATGATCTTTTAGCTCACAAAAGTTTGTCATTATCCATCTTCTGAAGTCTAATTCTGTCATTTTGTCACAGTCATTCTCTGTCCAGCTTTGTTCCCTTGTTGGGGAGGAGTTTTGGTCTTTTCTAGGAGGCGAGGTGTTCTGGTTTCGGGTGTTTTCCTCCTTTTTGCGCTGGTTTCTTCCCATCTTTGTGGATTTGTCCGCTGGTCGTCTGCGTAGTTGCTGACTTTTCGATTGGGTCTCTGAGTGGACACCCAGAATGTTGATGATGAAGTATTTCTGTTGCTTGGTTTTCCTTCTACCAGTCTAGCCCCTTCGCTGTACGACTGCTGAGGTCCGCTCCAGACCCTGCTTGTCTGGGGTGCACCTCTAGCTGCTGTGGCACAGCGAGGGATGCTACCAGTTTCTTTTTCTGCTCTCTTTGTCCCAGGATGATGCCTGCCTAATGTCAGTCTTTTGGATATAGAGGGGTCAGGGAGCTGCTTGAGGAGACAGTTTGTACTTTATAGGGGCTTAATTGCTGAGCTGTGAGCTCTGTTGTTCATTCAGGGCTGTTAGGCTGCTATGTTTGATTCTGCTGCAACAGAGCTCATTAAAAAAACCCTTTTTTTTCTCAAATGCTCTGTGTTGAGGGGTTTGGGCCTTATTTTTGGATGTCCATTGAGGTCCTGCCCAGCTAGGACGCAGACTAGCCACTGTTTGCCTGCCGAGGCTCCGCCCTGCTGTCGTGAGGCTCGCCCTGGCTCTGCTGTTCTGCTGTGTTTTCTGCCATGCCCTCCGGCAGAGTCTCTCTGTTGTAGCGGGTTGCCTTGGCAATGGGAGGTCCGTCAGCAGTGGGCGTGTATCTCAGTAGGGATGGGTTGCCTCGGCAATGGCTGGCTGCGTCAGCAATGGGCGTGTATCTCAGTTGGGGCGGGTTGCCTCGGTAATGTTGGACGCCCCTCCCCCACAGAGCATCTCGGGCCGTCTGCACGGGGCTTGTTTGATATTGCGGTTTTGTTTGTCCCACTAGGCCACCCCTAACGCTCTGTCTCTGCAATCCCCTGGGCTGGCCCACTGTCCAAGTCTAGCTCAGTCTCAAGTCCAGCCCTCTCACGTCTCCGGTTGCCGGTTCAACAGGGCACCCGGAGGAGCACGCCCTGTGGGGAGCGCTGGGCAGGGCCTGCCACCGCCACCCCGGCTGCTGGCTTCTCCAGGAGGAGGTTCTGCCTGGCGTCCCGCATCTCCTCTTCACTTGGGAATTTCCCCGTTTCATGGGCAACAAAGATCAGTCTGGAAATGCAGCTCAGACTCACCTCTCCGCGGACACAACGCAAGCTCCAATCCTGGGTTGTTCTCACAGCGCCATCTTGAGTCTAAGTTCTGGATACTTTTAAAGACACATTAAAGGGCACAGTTTTAAAAATGCTCTTTGGAAAATAATTCTTTCAATTTTTTTCTATGCAGCGTTATGATTTTTTTCCTAATTAGCATAAAACAACACAGGAAAGAAAATACGCCCTGGAAATAAGCTTTATCTTAAAACTCAAACAAAACTAAAGCAACTTACAATAATTAGACATCGTGCTGCTGATGATGATTTTTCTAAAATACTGATGTATTATCTCTCAATGGCAAGGCTTAAGAGGGAAAAATGGGCAGGGAAAGGGAGAGCAGTCAGAAATATTCAAGTCAGTTGGAAATTAGGTAATGAGGAAAAAATGTCAAGAAGAGTTTGGTTTGTTTGTTTGTTTAGTTTGTTGTTCTTCCAGTTTATGTGTTGAGACAAGGTTCTCTTTACCTTTGGGTCTAATAATTTTTGGTTTGCAAAAAAGAGTAAATTGAAACTTGCCTGGAGATTAATTTTAGGAGGACTGTGAGGAAACCAGATTGGCAGTGAATACGTGGTGACAAGGTGAGAAACACTTCTGCAGAATGTGGAACAAATTATTAACTGACTTATTACTCAGCCTGGCAGAAACAGCCACTTAGATGAGAGTCTAAATTCTCCTCTCAAATCTAGAATGCTCAAATCTAGAATGTCTTGGTGGGAAGGTGGAAGATAAGAAGCTTATAAATAGCAAAATTAAGTTGGGTTTTGAATATACTTGTTATACCCATGCCCAGGAAAATTAACTGGAGTTTTAATAAATGACTCTATCTCTTACTCTTTTCTCTTTTTGGCCACATGTCCAACTGATAAAGGGAATTAGCCATGTGGGTGAGAGATGGGACTGAAGTGATTGTCTGCTGCACTAATTCTCAGAATTGTGCATTATAGTGACCTGAGGACATTTTGTTAAAAGTCTAAAATTGTAGGCTTTCCCCTGAAGATTTTGATGTAATAGATCTAATAAGGCCTGAATGTGTTTAAATTTTTTTTTGAAGTTGAGCACAGTGGCATGTTTCTGTAGTCCAAGCTTGAGCAACATAGTGAGACTCTTGTCTCTAACAATAATAACAGCAACAACCAAACAAACAAAAAACCTCAAGGTTCAGAAACACTTTTGAAATCCTACCATTAATCATTCACTGCCATTCAGAGTGTCTTTAGAAATTTGCTTATGGGTAATCTTTCAATAAGTAGGGGCTGACCTTTTCATGATTTCATGTCCCTTTGTCACCATGTGGGTGATTATGTGTTAACATATGTCCATTACAAGTTGGGTTTTATCAATTACAATAGTAGCAAATCCTAAACATTTTTTTCACTTGAAGATGTATGATAAATTATCTCAGTATATCTGTTAAATTTCTAGAGCTTTAACATAATGAGGATGTCAGTTTTAAACACTGAAATTCATAAAGTTAATAAGAATACAGATAGAAATTCTTTTAATAATTTAGTTTTAGCAGTCCTATAAACAAATTATCCATTTGGTTAACAATCTGGGAAAATTCTATACAAATAAATTTTTAATGAATAAATGTTTGAAAAATTCTGGAAGCAAGTATTAATGAGTCTTTTTAGTAATTTTATTATCTATGAGGGCCTGGTACTTTGGTAAAACATATTGTGGGAATTCACTAAGGGCAGTGGTAAAAATATTAAGAAAAAAATATTAGAGAAAGTTATAGCATATAGTCACAAACCTTGGAGGGCCAAGAAATTTGTATAGTTTTAGTAGATGTTTCAGGTGAAGGCAGCCTAAATCTCCTTTACTGTTAGTTAATAAGAAAAGCAAATGGCTAGGCTATGTGGGGGAGTTTATCTGAATAACTTGTTTACTTATGTGGTCTTAAAACTAACCTTTGAGCCAGATGGCCTTCTCACGGGGAAGTTGGCCAGGGAGATTACCCTCTAATGGTGTTTGCTTTGGTCTCAGAACCTGGCCTTTAATCTTTCTGTACTTACAGCTTAACTCATACTGTTAACCTAGAGCCTCTGTTATTAAACCTGTACTGAATAAATAGGGAGAGGGTGAACTAGTCAGGGTCATGTAGTTGTGATCTCTCTCTGTGAGTGGCTCATGACTCCCTACCTCACTCATTTACTGGCAATTTGTATCTGACTGCATTTTTTCATCTGTCATGCACAGAAATGGTAACTCCCATACTAGCAAGTAATTTGACTGTTTGCCCCCAGGGGGATGGCTTGTTAGCCAGTGATGCATTGGACTCTCTGAAAGGTGAGGCACAGCTGCGAGGGAGAAAAGCAAAGGCTAAAGTCATGAGAACAGCCAGTCTGCTCCCTTTGAGGAATCAAGCAGCTCTAGGAGCAGATTCACCAGCAGCATAATTCATAGCCAAGCAAGGAAGTTGCCTGTGTGACTTCCAGGTGGATGGCTGCTTAGCCAATGACAGATAAGACTCTCTGAAAGGTGAGAGCAACTTAAAACAGGCACAGCTATGGGGAGGCCATTAAAGGCTTAAGTCATAGCAAAAGCCAATCTGCTTTCATGAAAAAACAAAACAGCACTAGAAGCAGATTCACCTACAGCATAATTTACAGCCAAGCAAGTAAGTTGCCTGTGTGCCCCCAGGTGAATGGCTGGTTATCCAATGATGAGTAAGACTCTCTGAAAGATGAGAGCAACCTGAGACTGGCACAGTCACAGGGAGGCTAGCAAAGGCTAAAGTTATAGCAAAAGCCAGACTGTTCTCATGAAGGAAATAAGAAGTTCCAGGAGCAGATACACAGGCAAGGTAACTCTCAGGCAAGCAAGTAAGTTGCCTGTTTGTCCCCAATTGGATGGCTTGTTATTTTAAAATAAAGAGCAAACTTACCATAGCTTAAATAAAATTTGTTTGGCACATTTTAGTATTGCATTCTTTCAAACAAAACAGGTCATAAGGTTGGTTTCAAAACTCAACCATGGTTTTTTGATTCTGAGTAACACATAGTAAGCATATTTCATCCTTATCTATCATTGAAGGCAGCTATTAATTATTGAGAGAATACACTGAGCAGCTATCTAAAGCCTACGCAAAATAAAGAGCAGTCAAATTGGAGAAAACCAGAATTTGGAGTCAACCACACTAGTGGTGAGTTTACTATGCTGTGTTTTTCCCTTTCAGTAACTCCCTGGCCTGGACCCAACACACCCTGAAACATGGAAGTGGGAATTAGTATGAATAGAGAAAGCTCCAGAAGACCCTCTGGTGGCTGGGCATGGTGGCTGATGCACATAATCCTAGCACTTTGGGAGGCTAAGGCAAGCAGATTATGAGGTCAGGAGATTGAGACCATACTGGCCAACATAGTGAAACCCCATCTCTACTAAAATAGAAAAAATTAGCCAGGCATGGTGGTGCACATGTCTAATTCCAGATACTCAGGAGGCTGAGGCAGGTGCTTGAACTGGAAAGGTGGATGTTGCAGTGAGCCAAGATTGCGTCACTGCACACCAGCCTAACGACAGAGTGAGACTCCATCTCAAAACAGCAACAACAACAAACCCTTTGGTTCTGACTTGTGGGGTAGGAGTGTCCTATAGTAACAGCGCCACAGCAAGGGACACATATTATTGCTCTGAGGAAGGATAACCTTTATCTCCAGCAATAGGAGTGGTAGTTTCCAGGGGATGGGCAAATCCCTGTTTCATTCTTATGTCTCTGCCCTCCTGCTGCTTGACCTTGGATGAAGCATCAGTAATAGAAAGTGTACAATGGAAAAGGATCATGAAATCTTCAGTTTTCTGGACAGAAAATACTGGGGATAAAAAACAACAGATAAATTTGCTTATAAACTCTTGGCCTCACCCCTGAGCTTTGTTTTCATGAAGCTGGCCCTAAATATTATACTAAGAACTCTGAAAACAAAAATAAGACATAGACCACCACCAAAATCTCAGACCAGCCCCTGGGTGTAGAAAACGCAGAAAGACATAAATAGCATTTCAAAGACTTTGAAAATGGAACTAACACTAAAACCACAAGCCTTGAAAGGCTAGGGAGAACTTGGGGCCTGAGTTCACCACGTTGATTGCCTGCTAAACTAAATGTCAACATTTCTCTTAGGTTTTAACCAAGACTCAGACAATCATAACATAATATTTAAAATGTTTAGAACACAATTTAGAATTTCTCTGTATAAGAAGAAGCTGGAAAATATTTAATGTTATGGGAGAAAATAATCAGCATGTACCAAAACCCAGATGACATAGAAATCAGAATTATCTGACAAGGACTTTAAAACCGCTATTATAAAAATGATACAGTAGTAAAGGCAAACACTCTTTTTTAAATAAATAGGATGATAGCAATTCTCAACAAAGTCATAGATAAAAATAATAGCAAAATATATTTTACCACTAAAAATTAAAATATGGAAATTAGAAAAACCTCATTATTATTGAAAAGTTTCAACAGCAGAATAGAGAAGACAAAGTAGAAGATAACTAAACTTGAAGATAGAGAATTAGAAATTATCCATTTCAAACAGTGTAGAGAAAATTAGAAAAAAAATTAGCCATATCCCAAGGACCTGTGGGCCAGTACCAAAAGTTTTAACATTCATACTATTGGTGCTCTAGAAGGAGAAGAAAAATAGTGTGGTGAGAAAAAATATTTGAGATATATAATGGCTAAAATTATCTCATTTGGTAAAACATATAAATCAATACTTTAATACACTCAGTAACTAATAATTAATAGCTTTAATATACTCAATACCTCCCAAACAGGATAAATTTAAATAAATCCAAGGTCAGATACATCATAATCAAAAAGCTGGAAACCAAACACAAAGAAAAGTTTGTGAAATTAGAGAAATATATGTACTACTTAGAGCAGAATGGTGATTTGAATGATTGTGAAAATCTCATTTGAATCCATGGTGTCTAGGGGAAGTGTAAATGCTGAAAAGAAAAGAACCATCTCCCTAGAATTCTATATCCCATGAAAATATTCTTTAAGAATTAAGATCAAAAACTATATACAAAGTGGAGG